CCTACACGTTTTACTGTTGTTCCCGATTCGTATATTATAAAGGGGCGCTTACTTTTTAATAAAATAATACAGCTATATAGCTATTATTATAATAATATTATGTACTCCAATGCGACCTTATAGATATGAAAATTCCGATGCTTGCACAGTGTCGTTATTCTGACATCGAAACATTACAATTGACGCATTTCAGACGCGTTTTAATATAATATAGTATACAACCACATTTTCATAGAAAAAAATAAAAACGAAATCTTTAGAATTAAATTCTTAGAATCACCGGAAACGATCATTCACTATTTTTTTTTTTTTTTTATCTAACTTCCGCCAAGTCGAACACAAAACATCCTGGGAGGCCGTATCGAAATCTATTTACGTGTCCGTATTATTATGTTAGGACCTTCGGGCAGTATTATGCCATTAAAGTCACCAAAATATCAATAATATATGTGTCAGTCGTGAAATTTGCTTCAATAGCGAATGATAATATATTATTATCCTCGTTTTTTTATTTATTTGTACGGGATACCTCTACATTGTAAATAAGGGTGATATTTTTATTTTATCTTCGGTTTTTTTTTTTTTTTTTTTTTTGACGTTGTAAACTTGCACGATGTAAAGGAGAAAAAAAAATAATAATACAAGGCGGATAACCTTATAATATATTAGGCGGCATACGTGTGTGATATAATGTACACCGTATACTGATTACTGGGTAGGTATACAATGAAGGAAAAAAAAAAAAGAGAGTTTCAAAGAATATAATATATATATATATATATATATATATATATATATATAATACTATTATAATACCGTACGAAATACAGATATATACTATGTATATAGTATTGTGAGTCTGGACCAGGGACTGTTTTTTTTTTTTTTCTTAATTCGGATTCCATGATAAAAAAAATTGAATTTCTGGTGCGGGCACGCACACACACGCACACACACACACACACACACACACACATAATACTGTAAGCGAGGGGAACGATATGATTGCCCGGTAAACCGGTTTTCGGGGCACTTTATACTTAGGACGTACAAATAATATTGTATGGTATCGTTACAGAAACCCATCGAGATTCGATATGACCACCACGAAATGAAAAAAGCGCACGGGCCGAGTTCATGGTCGCGTCCACGTGTGTTTATAATAATAATATCGGGCACTATAATGATAATAGTATAAATTCGAGACTATGAGAAATGGGGGGGGGTACCGTATTTATTATAGTAAACGAACAACTTTTTTATAGAAACAAAATATTAGGTACCCCACACCGTGAAGAGGTATTCGTGCGGACGCAATAATATTACATGGCTTTGCACTGAGTTTTCAGCGGGATAACTATGCAGAAGACGAAAGGCAAATAGTCTGGTAGAGGAAAATTCTGAGAGAGATTTACGGACCATTAAAAGATTGTAAAAAGTAACAATAATCGGATAATAAAACCGAATCATAAACTAAGACCAATTTTCCACAGATCCAACATCTAGGAGGCGATAAAAAAAAAAAAAGACTACAGTGTGCTGAACATGCTTGGCGTAGTTAAAATCCTTTCATACAAATAGTACTTGAAAAGAACCCAATTGAAAAGAGGCTACTGAAAAATCTCCGTGTCGAAAAAATATATCAACTGCGGTTTATGAAAATAGCAGGTCCCTAAAAAGACAAAAATGAAAATAATGAAACAGTTGACCCCGTCCGAATTTGTCCGGTTTTCCAATATGTTTTTTTTTTTCGATTATCTCAATTATTATGAAAACTACTCGGAAAATGAAAAAATGATGTCATTTTTCAATGGAACAGGGCTTTTTTGGGAAAATTTGTAAGTTAATACAAAAAAAAAAAAAACCACAAGCATCACGGTAAAACCGAAACATTCCTTGCTGCGTTCAAAATCTAAACAAAAAACCTAAATAATAACAAAACCACACCGTATAGTTACTGTATAGTATCGACGAATTCCTACATGTCTGCGATAATCATATTGTATAACATAAACACGGTACATGTTTGGGGTGAGGGGATAGGTCGGTCGTACAATATATAAGACAACAAAATTTGTGATTAATATCATTTCGTGCAGGTGTGGTCAACAGGGGTCGGGGGAGAGATATGCATCTCGCTTTACGAGCTCTTTTCCTTCAATATTCTCGGTAATGTAATATAATATATTGATAAAACAAAATCTAACATTGCTCACGGGTAGCCCACTGTGGCACTGTTGTAGATGGGTATTCGGGGAGACCGAATATACAGGGTAATTTAGTTTGAATGCTGTACACAACGATAAATCATTGCAAACGAAAAAAACGATCCTGCAGAACGTATTAGTACACAATATTAGTCTTGTTTTTTTTTTTTATCCTTGTTGCCAGGTTAAAATCACTAGAAATCAAACAATAACAAAAAAATACCTATAGGTGCAGATGAACTGCTGAACATTTCGATAAGCGCTTCAAGTATTAAAGTACTACTGGGTAGAAATCCCGCGTGTTTTGATGTACCGCGTGAAAAAAATTATAAACCATTTACCTAGCTTAAAAAAAACACAAAAAGTAATTGTTTGAAAAAGATATTGGTGACTTCAAAAACTGTTTCAACTAAAGTATCACAAACCGAACAATTATATAGGTTAAAGAAAATGGCAAAAAAAAAACCAACCATTTTTAGTGACCGAAGTGATTGTCTTTGTGAAACGAATAGCTTCTTCGTTACACTCCGAATGCAAAATAATATGTAAATAATAATACTAAAAATAATGGTCAAAAAAAAAAATGTTAAAAATTCGGCCCCGCTCCTCAAAACAAAACCATTTGACCGTCACCTGATTCCGAGTCGGATTGCTCGGATTGTGTGGATACTTTTGGCCATAATAAATTTCACTCCGAATTAATATTATTACATCATTTGTTTTTTTCTTTTTGGTCTATTTCCCGCTACGTCGTCGCGAGTCGAGGCGGTGCCCGAGTGAAAGTCTCGCGCGTGTCGATTATCCGTAATTGCGATATACGTACCGAAACTGTGTCATTTTTTCACGAGTTTTCCGAACGGTGCTCGACTTAAAACATTATTATAAAAGTAAACAATATTATAGAAGTGATGATGGGGTGTTTGACAATGGTTTTGAATGAAAAAAAAAACACGCGTTCCTCGTAAAATGAGTACACAGGCTATTATATTACTAGACTGTATACAGTGCTCCCTTCACTTGCTCACCGCAAAGATGTTATCATAAACAAGCAAACAATCCGTAATATTTTGTATATACAATAATAATTATTTATTATAATATAACAATAACAGTGTAGAGTAGAAACCCCTCCCTCACTGTTTTTTATTTATTTACAATTTATTCGTCAAAATAAACTGATGGTATATAATATTTTCGAAATTACGTAGTAGTTAGTAGAAAAAACACCCGGGCAGATATGTTAAATAACGCGAAATATTAGTTCGTCGACGGCCTATGTCTAGGTCTCACTCAATAAAAAGAAAACAACCAGCAAAAGGGTAAAATCAGTCGCGATATTCTGCCTCCGATGCGTCCCCCCCTCCAAGTCAAATATCGGTTAACTGCTCAAGTAACCGTATTTTCAGGCCAAAGAAATCCAACCGATAAGGATGGAAGTTGGCGAGATAGAATGCATAGATTAATTACATTTTTATCTGTACACAACGATAAATCGTTGCTAACGAAAAACGATTCTGAGCGAAGTTCGGTTAGACGGGTTTTGAAATGCCATGAAATGCAAATAGTATTGCTTTGTCAACGTCATATTGTAGTAAAATAATTACCTACTATATGCATTACTTAGATATTTTTATATTTTTATACATTTTTACTTAGATATTTTATAATATTTGTTTAATATTGTACCTGTTTTCCCGTTTTTCCTACGTTTTCCCCATTTATTTTTCCCTTTTTCGAAAAAGTGCCATTCCCGGAGCGAAATTCCCGGTAAAAAAGTTGGGAAAAATATTAATAATAATAAACATCGTCATAAAACCAATTTAATTCCTCGCTCCATTCAGAATCTAAAATCTGACCGGGAACAGACAAATTTGAAAAAAAAAAAAAACACACACACACGTCATTGTATAACCAATACGTCGTTCCTCGCCGAGCTCGGAATCCGAAAAAAAAAAAAAAACTGTCGTCCGGCCCGATTCCCACCGACACACGCTGCGATAATCGAGAGTGCCGTGGCGCGTTTACATTTTCGTTTTCATCGCGGGAAGGTTAAGGTGCTGCAGTGACGGCGGCGGCGGCGGCGGCGGCCGGTTATTTGGGGTTGCGACGGCCGGCAGAAAATCGGCTACGGTAGACGGGACGCACGACGCACGACGGCGAGCGACCCCTCTGCGTGTAACCGCGTCCGACCGACTTCCAGTGGTTCTCATATTGTTACGTGTAGTGATGGCTCGCTACGCGGTCGCTTTACCGTGACCGTCTTCCGGGGCGAAAAATCCCGGAAATCTATAGTTATGCATACATAAAACACGAATAAAACGAAAGAAATCCGGTGAAAAATAAACGTACAGTTACTGCGGTATAACTACGCAGGCGGTGTATTATAATTACGAGTGTACGAGGGGTCGGGGGGGGGGAGGGGGAACGGGTTGAAGCGGAGAAAATCGGTAATAACGGAAAACGGATGAGTCGCGGGACCGGGAAAACTAACGGTACCTGACGGCCGTCGGCCTGTCGGTTCGACGGTTTTCGCCGGTTCACGGGAGCGCGGCGGCGTCACGGGAAATCAGTCGACGGCCGCGGCTGGTTGTTCGCCGGGTGTCCGGCGTCTGATCGCCGTCGTTGTTATTGCCGTTCTTGTTGTTGTTATTGCTGTTGTTGTTGGTAGTACTGAACGAGCGCCAATGCCAAGGCCCTGCCGTCGGTCGAGTCCCGCGCCTATACGAAAACGGGGAGGGTGGCAACACGTACGGTAGTCGGAGGCGACGGCGACGGCGGCGGCGGCAGCGGCGGCGACGGCAGCGGCAAATATTAACAGTACGATTGCTGCAGTGGTGTTGCCGCGTATAGTCGTACCGTGTCCGCGTCGCCGTCGTGTCGTACCGTCGTTACACAGTTCGTCTGGACCGCCGTCACTTTGCCGATCGTGTTTTTCTCGCGTCCTCGCGGTATAAATTAATAACCGTTCGGCTTAATAATATAATTTTATAGGTGAGAACTCTATTACGTATTCGTCTACACCGCGTGTCGACAAGTGGTTTTTTCGCGGACATTTGCCGCACCGTGCCATGAAAACGGCGGCGGGCGCCACACAGTCATTGTCCGAGTCATAGTCGTTGTCTGCAGCAGAAGTATGTTGAAGTTGTTGGGCGACCTCAGGGGGTTCATCAAGCGGCCGCCGGTGATCGCCGACGGCTCCGTGTTCCGCGTGCACGTCATCTTCACCACGGTCGTGCTGTTCACCTGTTCCATATTGGTGACGGCCACGCAGTACGTGGGCAACCCGATACAGTGCATCGTGGAAGGGCTGCCCACCAAGCCGGTGAACACGTACTGTTGGATAACGTCCACGTTCACCATGCCGGACGCTTTTCTACGGGAACAGGGCGTCAACTCCGCGCATCCCGGCGTCGGGCCCGAGACCCCGGGCGAACCGCGAAAGTACTACACGTACTACCAGTGGGTGTGCTTCGCGCTGTTCTTACAGGCCATACTGTGCTACTTTCCCAAGTGGTTGTGGGACTTGCAGGAAGACGGACTGATGAGCACGCTGGTCATGGGCCTGCACTTCGGGCTGGGTGCTGACAAGGAGAAGGAAAAACAAAAGAAGATACTCGTCCACTACATGTTGACACACATCAGGGTGAGTGGTTACCGGTTATAACCGTCGCGGTTATGGTTTGGTTTCTGCGGGAGATACCTCAGACACGGTCTCGCGGGTATATCCGAATCGAACGGCCGTTCGGAATATAATAACTATAATATTAGGAGATACTCGTGTGTTGTCGTGTGACAAATCGCATTAAAACTCACCGTAATAAAATTTAATCAACAATTGGCGTAACCCGGAGGAGGTACGCCAGATCACAGCTCTCTAGCGAGTTTTTCAACAAAATTTGTTCGTGTACATTATAGCAACGTGCGGTTAGGGTTGCCTAACCTGGTTAGGTATCAATATGGTATTGTTTTAAGGGTTTTTTTTTTTAATTTTTATTTTAATGAGAAAGCGATACATTGTAATGTTAGATTATAACAACTATCACTCCCGTCCAAAGGAAATCTCCTGGCTACGCCGTCGTGTAGAATGCGGAAAGAAAAAAAAAACACATTTTCATAAATACCTTCATACACACCGGTCCGTCGCGACGAGGGTGCGTTCTAACTTACAGTAATGTAAATACGGTGTTCATATTTTATATTCATATTTGACGACCGATATATGGCCACCAAAACGGCAATGTGTTTTTTGTATGGTCACGGTGTACAAAAGTACTAATCTCATGAACCCCGGAAATTTTCTCGATTTCGGACGTTTTATAACGACAAAAATTATTTTTGAAAAAGTCGCAGAGTGCACATGCTTGTAATATAACTTATAATCACCGTTAATAGTAAAAGTATATTGTTATAAGTTTCGACCGTTTCAAGTCAAGTCCCGGTCCGATGACGCGATAATTAATAATGCGACTGTCGCGATCGTAACTATCACATTATATAGCGCTTGATAGTATAAAAAATGAATTCCGATAGTATGATACGGCTTTGACCGTAATGTCGGCCCCGCGATAGTAATTGCATCGACTGTCACGGGCGCGCACGACAGTGTGACAGTCGTTTTCGCGATAGTCACTATCACTCTGTTCGCTCGACGAAAGTTCAACGTAACACCTATCGCGGTTGCGAATTTCGAGACTATCACGATAGCGACTATACGCGTCGTCGTCGTGTGTACCGGCGTTTTCATTTACAAGAAAATAACCAGTGTTATTAATACGATGACGTTCACGTCGCGGTGAACCGTTTTAGATTTTAACGCGAAAAAATTGACGTCGGTAAAAATTGATTAACATGGCCCGACAGTTCAATTTTTTTTTTTTTTTTTTTTTTTTATCGCGGCTAACGATTAGCGCGCTACAATAGAACATATTATATTTTTCGTTTTATTATATTATAACTTGGGTGCCTACTACAATAACAATTAATAACAACAATAATTATTATCATAATCGATGTTTGAACAATAATATTTTGGGATGTTTGATTCGTCGAACAATAGAATATTGTTCGTATTTATTCTATTTACTACAATAGTTGGGTATTTGTCATACCCATAAGAACAAGTCAAGACTGGCGGTGTGTGCAGTTCTACTCGCACGTGATGAAATCATTCGAATGGAAATGATCATTATTGACACGGTGTCGGTAAGCTTTTGTGTAATAACCGTTTATTCGTTTCGAAAACACGCGTTTCGTTTGATCGTCATTTTGTGAATAGGTACCTACTTTATTGTATTAATGTATTACATGGAAATACGTTATAAATTATAATAATTGTTAAATCCGTCGCAAAGGTCCACAGTCCAATTATTGATAGCGTGCCGGGTGATGTCCAGATAATATTAACAAAAACTATATCATTATGTGTACAGAGTGTCCTACAGTGTAATCCATATACCAATAACTCTGTCAACATTATTTTTTTTTTTCAATCGGGATTTGTACGAGGGAGTTACGTGTATTGAGAAAAATTAAATTTTTATTTTCATCCCTTAACCACTGAAAAAAATAACTTTTCCTTCTCATTTTTCAAAATTTTAAAAATAGTCATTTTGTAAAATATATTATTCTAAAACTGTTGCAAGGAATATTTATTCATATCCGATCAATAGTTTCTTATTAGTAATAGGAGTTTTAATTTCTAAAAAATTAGCTTGAAAACAGTTAATATTCAATAAAAAAATAAGAAATTATCGAGCTGATTGTGATTCCTAATCAAGTAACATGTTATTTTGTAAAAGTTATTTATTTTTTTTCAATAATTAAGCAGTGAAAATAAAAATTTAATTTCGCTCTGAAAACGTGTCCCCTTCGCAATCTTGCACGAAACCCGATTGAAAAAAAAAATGAATATTGACAGAATTATTAGTAAATGGATACTATTGTAGAACACCCTGTATAACTTATATACAGATGTCCCCCACTTTCTCTTCCAATCACTATGAAATTTTACATTTTTTAACTAGTTACCTATATTACATTTGTTTAGAATATTATTATGTAATACGATTAAGAAACATTTTTACAAAGGTTTTGAAAATTAAATAATTTATGTACTGAAATCGGCTGTAACATAAAATTCGAAAAACCCAGCAGTATATAATATATAGAGTGATTAATTTATCGTAAGAAAAACATTATTTTTAAATGTATTAACTTTTTCCGGAATTTGTTTTAGTAAACATTTTAGAAACAATCAGTTCTACAATTTCATATCTATGTTATATTTTGTCACCCTTAGTTTTGGGAGTAAAACCACTACCTACTTTTGATTTTAAAATGACAACCTACATTAAAACTTATATGTAATATGTATTAGATTTATTAGTTAAAATAAATTTTGATGTTGACATTTTTGTTTTCCGTCAATCCGTTGACGAGACATTGCACTTCTAAGTTTAGGTCGGGTGACAGTAATGAAACATTTTTAATTGTGTGGTTGTTCGGCGCGCGGCGTTTTTATATAAAGCACCACTACATCAAAATTTATTTTAACTAATGCTACATCTATTTATGGAATTTTTAGTATAATTTACTAATTAAAAATCAAAAATCAAAAGTTTACTGAAAATACGAAAATTGTAGAGCTGCTTGTTTCTTTAACTATTCTATCAAACAAATTCCGATAAAAGTCAATACGTTTCGAGATGATGAGTGTCTTACGATAGATTGATCACCCTGTATAAGATCCCAATACCCGAACAAGCCATTGGTCTTATAGTTTTTGGCGCCCAAACATTTCATGATACTTTTATATCTTTGGTGCTATGATCAGGATCACTACTGCCCGAAAGTTGTTCGTTTAAATCAATTATATTATTATAAAACAGTATTCCCATTTTCGATCAAACTAAATACAATCGAGTGATTTCAATTTTTGCCAATTATATCACGGACTTGTAGCCAGTAACCACAAAGATTTGGAGTAAATTCGATTTTGGTTTCACATAGTTTTTAAATCGTTAAATCGATCTTTATATTTAACACATGTTTTCAAAATGCCACATTCTTTTTTCGTATACCTATGTCCTATATCAAAAACGTACAATATTACTATGGACGTTTGATTTTTAAACAGCGACCATAAACATATTTTTTGAACCCATGTCCCAAAAGAGAGATACACGGGTACCGGTTATTACCAGCTCTATAGTACTCGTATACTATCGGATCATTTAACCTTTATGCGTTATAATAAACAGACCGGATATTTAGACCGGGGGAGATTAACGAGATTTGGTATCGTTAAAAATGTAATAACATCCGTGTGTTCAGATAACCCAGCGGTTTTATAGATTGTAAACGGCGGGTCGCTACATGGATATTAAAAAATCCATAGTCGATAATGAGATTACTATTCGCGGGCCTAAAACCACAATAAGTCACTTTATCTATATTTTTTTTGTTTCGAATTTCACTTTGTTTTATTTATATTACAAGCAATACGGGATGAGTCTTTTTAAGGTTGTACAATTAAGTTGATAGCGTTAATAGTTACCGAGATATCCAGATTCCATAACCCTATTAGGTTCTAGGTTCTATACATATAAGGACAAATATTTCGTGACGACTTAACATGCCAGAATATTAATTGACATTGATCGTGTATACTGCTTATACGAGTAGTATTCACTTTCTACGAACTTGATTTGGAGGGGGGTTGATTTTCAGTGAGTTTAAGTCCCTTTAGCAAGACTATAACTCCTTTTTAAGCCCGTGACACGCGGAATGAGAGTACGATTTTTGAAGTTAATATAAATTCAAGCTGAACATTGAAAAAAAAGGGGTTTTTATTTAGTATTTTATTACGCGTCTGAACAAATTGAATTTACTCAGAATACTTCGCAAACAATCATACTGATTCAAGATAAAACTATCGCCCCGTCTAATAAAAACAAAATAATATGCAGTTACGCATTAATTACGATAATATTGTATTTCAGCCTCACGTGTGAAATAAAATTATAATAACAATGCGTTTTTCAATTTATTCGGAGAAACGGGTCAGCGCGCCGCGGCGTGTTAATATTAACTTTTTTTTTTTTAGCTTTTTATCTGGAGTTTTTTTTTTTAAATTACACTCTTTTTTACTTGGCACATTATTGCTTATATGCGTTATTAATTTGATAGTGTTTTTATATGCAAATTTTGTAAACACATTTTTCACAATTTTACAAATTAAAATTAAAATATCCATGCCTACAACGATAATAATAGTTTATGATTATATTCGATAGGTTTTCTTCAAATAATAACACGAAACGTTTAAACTGCACTCTTTTTTTTTTTTTATTGAGATCGAGGAACCGAAATACACATTTTGAGACAATTATTACAAAAATGTTAACGCCGCGCTCGTGCATGCACAATAAAACGTAAGTTTTCTTTAACGGAAATCTCGGTTTTTAATACCAGATTTGTGTAGTCCTAATTTTTTTTTCTCCATGCAAATTCGAATAGTCCAATTTTGTTCCAACGACTTCTCAAAAATCACCTGATCTAATTGTCTATTAAAAAAAAATATATATTTTCAAAAAATTGTATATGTTTTTATGTCCAATTGTTTTTAATAATATTGAGTTGTAATTTTTTCAAACAACCTCAATATTGCAGACTAATTTCTTCGTTTATTAAGCCATACCATTTTCAATTCCTTTAAAAATAGAGAAAACAAGTCAAATTTTCTAATGGCCTTATCTCAGGCAGTTTTTGAGATAGAAAAACAAATGTATAAATAAATAGTTAATTTGAAAAAATAGGTTTATTCTAATCTGGTGTTAAAAATAGGTGTTTCCGTTTAAAGTGCATTTGTGCATTTGTTTTTTCTGCCCTTCCCACACGCATATAAGGAACATTATATAATCATGTGGAAATTTCACGATTGCGACACTCCGGTTGAATTTAGGAAAAACGAACCTATTATATATTTTATATAGAAGATAATTTACTATGGATCCTGCGAATATATTTTAAATTATTTTAACCTTTATCGACGTATGCATGTTGTAATTTCAATAAGTTGATTACTAGATCATAACGTAAGATCAGTATGTAAATATTCTTCTTTGTGGAATAAGCCCATTTACCTTTAACTAAATTAGAAAGTCGAAATTGTGGAAATTCGAAATACCTTTATTGTTGTAATATAATACGTGTGAGACATACGGAGAAAACAAACGTTAGTGACGAGGCCCTATAAGAAAATATAAGCTTCATTGATCATGCGCGCACCAAATTGACGCACAAAATTGACTCAAAATGGGTATTTTGGAATGGTTAAAAAAAAAAAAAACAAATAAAAAGATATCAATTTCTGTCTAATTACTCTAATCCCGGTTAAAATAGTTCTCGTTACCGTTTGAGTGATAACAGTATAGTATACAAAACGATTATTTTTAAGACGAACTCTAACCTTTAAGCAAAGTAAATTCAATAATTTGAATATGTAAACATATTGTTTGAAAACACCGTACTGTATTAACGTTTTTGTATAGGTACTTGCCTATGCGCTACTCGTTCACATAATTATAATTTTCCCTACTCCCTATTTAGTTATTCAACTATAATACGTCGAAGCAATACGAGGACGTTATAAATGCTATATTGCAGGTAATATATTAGTTAATACGATTGTCTGGATACACTTATTGTTTAACGTAATACTATTATAATTATATATGAACTATAGGTACACACCGACGGTATAATAATAATTACCTATCGACAAAAATCGTGAAAATAGAAAAAGTATACGACATGCAATTTTGGTACTCGTTCATACGATAACGTTAATATTCGAAACGCGTAAACCTCGTTATAACCCGTACTTATTCCATAGTGTTCGTATGAAATATTATCATGATATATAGTAGTATACTAAATTACTAATGATCTCGTATTCTTATTGAAATTTAAGAGAGTACAAAAATTCTAGTTTTAGGTTTCTAAACATAAGTTTAGAACACCTTGTATCCCCGTTGTGACCGTCCGTCCGTCAGTAGTCCGTACACAATACATAGTTCCGGTTGTAGATTTGGGCGTCCGGCAATTGGGCCACAATAAACCTTTTTTTTAATAAAGTATACGGTAAATGGGCCACTAAAATTGTACATTTATAGCAGGTAGACTAGGTGATTGGGCCACTATATTTTAATAAATTTTAGATTTGACAAAAGGAAAACCACTATTTAACATCACTATTTCAAACTATTTTTAACTATATTATTATTTTTTCTACGATTACAAATTTAAATTTCTTATGTACGTTAAAATCGATGTATGTTAACGGCACTTTTGAATACTGTGCAAAGCAATCTCTATCACATTATTAAAAAAAAAAAAAAATGAATAATTATTTGACTAATTTTATATTAGGTAAATATTTTAATATATATAAAATTATATATTTTTGCGTTATACATTTGTGGCTCAATTCCCGACCGCCCGTAGATTTGGTTAACAAGGAGATATATATTATTCGTAAAGTTTTTTTTCATTATTATTTTAAATACGAGTTGGTATTAAATATAAACCCATGCTAGCCAGTATTAAAAATAGGTACCAAAATATAAACTCTTTAAGAATATTTTTAAAATTATCGTATCACCTATATTCACTGATTAGGATATTAAATTTTATTTAGGTTTCTGCAAAATATTTTTAGTTTCGGAGGAAAAAAAGCTTTTTTTTAAAAAAAATATTTTGCCTTGTATATTTGTTTCCTTTATTTTTTGGTTTAGATTGTACAAGTGTATGTATAAGTCCATGGATTTTCCAAACTTAATTTGCTTGTATTTTAGAAAACTATACAACATTTACTTAAGCCTTTCTTCTCTGGGACTAAAGATATAATGGATCATCAAATTTGTTCAAAACTGTATACATAGAATTATAGTCATTTATTGTTTAAAAACTCAGAACTTTACAAATTTGTTTTTATAAATTATTTTTGTAAAACTATATACTGCCTAGTATACATACAGACTACAGTGTTTAGTAGTATATTTTATAATATTATATCAAATTATAATTATGTTTATACGTTATATAAAACTAGTTATATTCTGTTCTTGATAAAACTTTATAGCTAGCTTAATATTCAAATCAAGTGGAAAGTGGCTGTCTACTTTTTACCTCGAAAGTCGAAATTTAACATCTAAATAGTAGCTGACACAGGATTTTCGGAACCTAAATTTTGTTGATTTATAAGTTACCGAGGCGAAAAAAAAAACAGTAATATTATTGTGTAGTTAGATTATTTTAGACGAGGAAATACCATTTTTAAAAGGTAAATTACCTGGCAACAACAACTAACTATACGATAGTAATTTATAATTTTAATTTCTTTTATTGATTTCTGTTTTTGAAAGGGTAAAAACAGAAAATACAGGGTTATTTAGTTAGTGTATAATATTGTAAAAAATTACTAACCTTCAAAAATGAATACATTTTTTTCGTCAATTGTTCGTTTAACCTTTACTCGTATGTACATTTTAATTGTGTTCATCTGTAAATGTATATACGTACCGTATAATGTCGGTGATAAGAAATAATTACATGTAGGTATCACACAGTAATCAAAAATCACATTTAAATATCTATACAAGTTTATTTCACGTACGATATTTTAAGTAGGTACTGCTGGTATTGAAAATTTTATAGGCGTATTTAATCATATTAAATTAACAATAAATTAACTCGGAAACTTGTATAGATTTTTGAAAAGTCGTTATAATATAATATCGTGAAAATATGTTGCCCATTTAATGGAATCTTTTAAAAATGTTTACATGTTAAGTCTTTATGTTAACTGCAGTTCGTATAGCCTGCGGATAATGACCATTTTAATAACATACGAGTATCGACAATAATTTGTATGTATACGAAGTGGACGTCCTCACTTCACAAAAATATCCCGAAAGTAACTTATGCGAATATAATTTATACTCAATGTAATACAATAATTATATTATGGTTATAATGTTATTTCACTCGTATTGACATTAATGCATGTACGCGGTTATATTCTTAAACTATTGTTAAAACTATCAAAAATAAAATCGTACTGTTCTTATCACTAATTGTATTGTTAGACGTTAATAGTTAACTATTAACTAATTCAATAATTACATTAAGATTTAAGAGGACACATATTGTCATATCCCCGTCTAACAGACGCCACCGCGTTTATTTTCCGTTCAGCAGAACCAATTTTATGCTAATAGTTTTAATGTTAGAGTAAATTGACCAGTTATCAAACTTTATGATAAGATTTTTTTGTCTGTATGTCAATTTTTTTTTTCGATATTTTACATACCCAAATTTCACTTTAAAATTGAAACATTGAACAAAATCTATGCATAATTATCTTACCTTTAAGGTTGATAATGTTATTACATGACTTCTCGTGTGAACATTTATCCCAGAGCTCAACGGGGTTCGTCTGCATATCGAAATATTTGAATAAACAAAAATCCTTAGGTAATAACAGACACGCGACGAGTATATTTTCCCAAAATAGTTCGTTTTTCCAATATTACATTTCCAAACACAAAAAAATGTTCGTTTTTATAAAATGTATAGGTACCCAACATTAAATCTATCTATATTATCTTCTCGTATGCAATCGTTGATTGGTTTGCTGTTGTTTTATAAAACAAAATCAAGAATATTAGATATGAAAATAGTGAAATTGAAAACAATCGATAGGAAAAACTGCCATACATTCATTGAATCATGGTGACGTGAGACACAAATGTCGATAAGATAGTCGATTTAGGAATATAAGACCTATATTTTTAATAGGTACCTATATTTTTAATTGTCCCCGATAATATTTTCACCCTTTGTTTTGTACAAATCGAAAAGCGTTATTGATTTAATTTTTTTTTTCCAGCAACACAGCTGGTACGCTGCCAAATATTGGATGTGCGAGTTCTTGTGTTTGGTCAACATCCTAGTACAGATATACTGGATGAACTTGTTTTTCGACGGGGAGTTCATCACGTACGGCCTCCGTGTGATCGGCATGTCCACCGAGCATCAAGACGACCGGATCGACCCGATGGTCTACATATTTCCCAGGGTGACTAAATGCACGTTCCGCAAGTTCGGGCCGTCCGGGACCATCCAGACACACGATTCGCTATGCGTGCTGCCGTTAAACATCGTCAACGAGAAGACCTACATATTAATATGGTTTTGGTATTTGTTATTGTTGGTCGCACTGTTATTCATGTTCGGTTACAGGTACGAATGCGTCGTTTTGAAGGCCAAAAAAAAAAAAATCAAATCCGCCTATTTCAGAAACCCCTAAAGGCCAAATAAAAAAAAAACACAAAAGTCGACTGTGTCGCATTCAATTGTTAGTTTCTCCAAACTAGCAGTTTACAACGGAACTCCCATCGAGAACTATGGAATGACCATAAAATCTCTTGCCTGTTTCCCGTGCCCTTGAAATTTTTATTCGCCACAAAAAAACCCACTTAGCACCGTCGTACAAATGTGTTTTTTTTTTATTATTATTGACTAACTCAATCATCTCATCTATTTTTAGGAGGATTTGAAATAAACGATTCATGTCCTTATAGTTAAAGTTTTTTGAAGGTACAAGAATCTGTTTCGCCTCAATTTCCACAATCCAAACCATTAAAACGAATTTGACCGTTATTATACAGTATATATTTGAAAATAAATTCTGAATAAAATGTATAGAGCTCAGAATTTGATGATAATATTACGTGGTTGTAGTTTTTTTTAGTAATTCCGGTCGTTTATCTCGGCAACTTAAAATAGCCCGTTTAAATGAATAATATGTGTTGAATTCTCAAATGTAAAAGTAAAGTCTTTTCTAAAAAATAAAAATAAAATTCAACATCGTTGAACAAACCTATAATATAATAGCTCTTGCGCACCGTTCAAAATTCTAAATTATTCATTATTACAATACAGTATTTAAAGAAACGAAACATGAATCAAATCGAAATAAACTATGCATTTTTGTGGATTTTAAGTTTAAAACGTTAAATTTACAACAAACCTAACTGGTTTACCGAGAACCGAGATCCAATCAGATTGTTTTTTTATTGTAATGATTCATCGTTGCATTCGGAATATTATAAATTTAATTACCTTATGATATCGTGTGGTATAGTGGTATATCCTAAACCTTTTAAACTCCACCACAGCAACAGTGAAACCTACTGTCCGGCTTTTCCATTCTATAAATGTCATAATTATTATTGTTGAACTTAAAGCAATGTATCATTATTTTAATTAACTACTTATAAAAAGGACAACTAAGTAAAAAATAACTACAATCAACTTATAATGTATCTTATGTTAAATTTTCAAGCATACCCGGAGCTTTGGAGATAGGTATAAACAAAAAACGAACAGTCGGAACTACATAATATCACGATTTTCACAGTACAAAAATAATCAGCAAGGGCATGGGTCAAAGGGTAATTAGGGGTTAACCTCTCTCATTTTTATAACTCCAAATTCACTACGATATTATAAATAGTTGATAGCCAGTACCCTCTCCCCATCATATATAATCTAGTCCTACGCCTTTGAACCTTGGATTTCCTATAGACACCTATACACAATCGGCCGTTAGATTTATATTATTGTTATACTATTTTGTAGGTTACTGATTTTGTACAACAAGACCGTGAGGAAGAACGCGTTGCGGTACCGCCACTATAGGTTGATAACTGACGACGTTGCCAGAGCGGTGACGAACAAACTGTCGATAGGCGATTGGTGGGTACTGTACATGTTGGGCAAAAATCTGGACCCAATGATATACAGAGAAGTGGTGCGTGAAATCGCAAAAAAAGCAAACAACTGACACGGAACATTCGGCCCCGGTGGTGATGATGGTAGACCGATTGGACCGACTGCATCAACGAAATTCGTCGCCGTCTCCGCATCCGAAAAGATTGGCCCCGATTTTTATTCATCTACCTACCGAATGTTTACAAAATCATCTTTATTTTTTCAATCATAAAAATGCTAAAATTTATTATAATCCATTAAGTTACTATACAAAAATATTATTGCATAATATTTATATTTATTTATATCGAATTTTAAGATTCATATTGGTAAAAAAAAATCATATTTTTATTAAAAAACGATTTTTTTTTTTCTACTTATTTATTATTAATTTTCGAAAAATAATTATTATAACAGCATGGCATAATATTGTTATTATTATATAAAAATATTTTATCATTGCTACACAATAATATGTTGTTTTATCGGAATAATGTAAGAATAATAATCATCTTTGTACGCGAGTGATATTAAAGTAAAAACTTTTATTCCTAACTTTTTGTATTTGTTGTACAATGGAACTCCCGGAAATTCGTGTACCTACAATTGATAACTGGTAGTTACAGGTTATAAATTACTAAAAAAAAAGTTTAAAATCATATACCTTTTCAGGATACAGAATTATACTTTTATCGAAATCTAGCAAATTTCTCGGAAGATTTTATGTAAATTTAGTTTCCGTGTCTTTTGTTTCAATCATTGTGAAATTGAGTAATAGTGGACAGGACATATGTATAAAATTTATTTGTTGTTTCTATCTTACAAACACACGGTATAATTAAAATATGCTTACGCAGACTACACAGAACTCACTTAATTTTGGTTTTAGAGTAAAAGCACCTATTATGATCCTATCATTATATTTCATGGTATTTCAATTAGAAAAACATTGAAAAAGTCGTTATTTATAAAAGGTAAAGTAATTGTTATATTCGGAGAAAATGGAAAAAATTTAACGTCTTGCCCTTCAGAATATTGTTTTCTATTAATTTCATAATAGGTACTTATACTCTAAAACCAAAACTAAGCGAGTTCTGTGTAGTCTGCATAATCATGTTTGTACTATATCTTGTGTTTGTAAGACAGATACAACTAATGCAAGTGCAATGTCCTCTTCAGTTCTATTTGAACATTATTTTCAAATTTTTAACCTTATACCTAACCTTATGTTGATCAGAGTCTAAAAGAGTCTATGTTCCCTGAAAATCATAATGTGTGTCTCAAGTTTTATAACGTGTTTTTATTATTGATTGTAGAAATAACAAACAATTTGAAATTTTAACACAAATAAATCTTTTTTATCTCAATATATATTAATAACAACTTTCTCGTAAACAATATTATACAAATGTATCATAAACTTTAACCACGGTCAATGATTATAAATATATATTATATAACGAAGATGGACTTTAATCGAGAATGTAACGAAAATACCTTGTGTGTTTAAATATATTGAGTGCTTCGCAGATAATATCAAATTTTTGACAACAGCATATTGTAGTTATTATTGTTCTGGCGGTGTGTTCATGTAATTATTAGTAAAATATTTTGAACTTTTACTTAAATTTATTTTGTATTTAAATATTTATTTATTTATTAGTTAAAAGCACCAGTGTTACAAAAATAATCATAAATTCATAAATAATATCAATACCAATTGTACTGTATCTATCACCTAATTCTAATATTCAATCAGACATATTCCCTAACTCACCTACCTAAATATTATTTTATAATCATTTCTATATAGTTTATGGTGCATGATTTGTTTACAGATGATACAATTTTAACAATAGAAAATCTGTAAGAAGTTAACAAAAACTTGAGGAATTGAAAATAGCACTGTAAAAGTATTGTCAGTAATGGGTGTAATGGAGCTAAGAATAAGTAGGGGTAAACGTTTTGTATATAGAGTACAAGTTTGAAGAGACAGAACAACAGGTTAACAATATAGATAATGACAATAAGCGGCCGGTGACGTAATAGATGGGTTATGAGTTCTAATTAACTAAAATCGTTTGTACATAGGAACGATGGCTTTGAGAGGATATAAAACATAAAATTAAGTTTGATTGGATTAAGTGAAGAGAAGCGTCAGGTGTTTTATGTAACAAAAGGATAACAATGATACTTAAAGGTGAGTTATTCAAGAATGTAGTGAACTAGCTATTTTATATAATTTGGAATATTGGGTGATAGACAGAAAAATAAAACAAAGAATGAGTATAGCAGAATTGAGAATGATTAGGTGAAAAAGCATAGGGAAACAAGAAAAACGAGAATATTAACAAATATTATTACAACAAATATCTAATGCATATGTAATTATTTTACAATAATATGGAATACATATTGTTGACGTTATTGTAACAACCGTAGAGTTGAATAAATTCAACTTTTGGACGTGCCGGTCATAGGTGGTAACCTCATTTTTTTGTTTTTTTTTTAATAATCAATCAAATTAGTATTAGAATTTTAATTTTATAATAGTTTAAATTAAAATTAAAATTAAATGTGAATTAATATCCAATTCTAATACTAGTTAAATTCAATGTGAAATTTGTGAAGGTAAATAATAACTTATGTTATGTAATCGTAAAATGTACATTGTTGTAGGGACATCTTTGCATTATATGCAAAATGTCTGTTTTATTAAACACTTCAAAATGTACTCTTGTGATATAAATTCACAAACTAGTACTACTGGGTACAATACCAAGTAATTTCAATTAAGGTTGTACAATTGTTTTTGAAATCATTACCAACTAGTAGAACCAGTAGTCAGTACCTAGTAGTAGAACGTAAACTATTAAAAATAGCAATATATAAGTAACCAAAATTAAGTAAATTAATTTTCGGTGTTTTTATAACTATAATTTTTTGGTTAATCATATAATATTAGTAAACTTTATTAATAAAGTGGATAATGTTTAGGTAATATTTCAATGACATCGTCTTTTATGACAGGAAATAATATGAATAATAAAAAGTCTGAAGAAAGTGTAGAAACGGTGATATATTTATAGCAAAATAAAAATAACTATCTATTCATAAATAATATAATATAATGAAAATATATTTCAAGAAAAATGTACGATAAAAATTACCGAGCATAATTAGTGAAAGGTAAATTAATAATGATAGTGAGTGATAACGTTGGTTGTCGGTAGAACGACTGGTACAAATTAATTCATGCAATCAAAAAGAACGTATCTTGTTCAAAAAACACGAAACGAAATGATACAGTAAGTTAAGGACTTCGTCTTATCGGTTGCTAAAATATCATAACCAAGCAGAATGAACGATTAAGATGTTAGGTTATCGATAAAGTAATGATTAGATACCTAGCCAGTACCAAAGGATGATTATTATATAATATTCGAGTGCATGCATAGACCAGATATATTGA